GCTGCTGCGCCCGCAGCAACTGCTGCTGGTCCTGCAGCTGCAACCGCGAAAGCTGCTTCTGACGCGCAGCGAAGAGGTAGAGGCACTGCCACACCTGCAGCAACCACCCACGGCAGCAGCAGCAGCAGCAGATGCAGCAGGAAGCAGCAGCACTTGTAGAAACAAGCAGCAGCAGATGCAGCAGCAGATGCAGCAGCAAGCAGCAGCAACAGCAGATCCTCAAGCTCTCACCTGCTGCAGCACCCACGAAATGAGGCGGCGATCAGGCAGCAGCAACGGAGGGAATAGGGGAAGCTCGTGCTGCAGTTTGCTGCTGCTTTGCTGCAGCAACTGCAGCAGCAGCTGCTGCTGCTGTTGCTGCTCCGTAGGAGACAGACCCTTCAAGAGGTCACGGAACTGAGCCTGCAGCTGCTGCAGCACTTCTCTGCATGCAGCAGCAGCAGCAAGCCCCTTGCGTGCTGCTGCGCATGCTTCTGCCTTGGCGCGTCTTGCTGCTGCCACTGTTTGTTGTTGCTGCTGCTGCAGTTGCTGCAGCTGCTGCAGCTGCTGCTCGGCTTCAGTGAGCTTCTTTTGCTGCTGAAACAGTTGCTGCGCTGTCTCCTGTTGCTCCTTTTGGGCCAGCAGCAACTGCTGCTGCAGCTGCAGCTGTTGCTGCAACTGCTGCTGCTGCAGCTGCTGCTGCAGTTCGTGGTCGGCACTGCACACCAGCTGCGACTGCGAGAGGCCCGGTGCTGCAGCAGCAGCAGTAGCAGCAGTAGCAGCAGTAGCAGCAGCAGCTACTGCTGCTGCTGCTGCTGCTGCGTCTGCTGCTGCTGGCACGCGGACGTAGGTAACCTGCGCATGCAACGGGCAGCAGCAAGGCTGCAGCCAGCGCGGCAGCAGCAGCCGCTGCTGCTGCTTCAGCAGCGCCTTGCTCCACATCAGTCCCCTGCATTCGTCTGCTGCAGCTGCAGCAGTGCCTAGCTTCTCAGTAGCAGCAGCAGCAGCAGCAGCAGCAGCAGCGTTTGCTGCTGCACCTTTAACCACTGCTGTCTCTGCTGCTGCTGCATGCGCTGCATGCAGACACGCAAAGAAGCCGCCGCAGGAGGAGCACAGCAGCCGGCAGCCGTCAGCAGCAGCAGTTGCTGCCAGCACTGCAACAAAAGCGAGCGCAGCTTCCTGCTGCAGCTGCAGAAGTTGCTGTTGCTTCTGCTGCTTCTGCTGCTTCTGCTGCGGCTGCTGCCGGTTGATGGTTTCCACGCCATCGCTGTCTGGTGCTGCTGCTGCTGCTGCTGCTGCTGCTGCTGCTGCTGCTGCTGCAGTGTGGCTGTGTTTTGCTGCTCTGCTCCTCTGTCCCTGCTGCAGATACTGGTGGCTGCTTCGTTGCGTGAACGCTGTAAAGGCTGCAGCAGCAGCTGCTGCTTCGTGCTGCTGCTGCTGCTGCTGCTGCAGCTGCTGCTGGCGGTAGAAACGCGGGGGCGGTGCTGCAGGGTCTGCGATGCCATCGACTTCCTTCAGCAGGTCAACGAACTCCTCGACGGGGTGTACAGCCACCTCATGTCTGTGTTGCTGCTGCTGCTGCTGCTGCTGCTGCTGCCTCGAAGATTGCCACCGCCGCCTCTCCTGTTGCTGCTGCTGCTGCTGCTGCTGTTGCTGCTGCTGCAGCAGCCTGCGCACGTAGCGGCTCGGTGTAGAGCTCG